AAAAAAAAGCCCATTTAACTTGGTAAGACGAAATAATTCTTTTCGTAGTAGGATCCAATCGAATGGAGCCAAAAGCAGTTATTGAATTAATCATACATTATTCATCTGTACTATACTTCATTATAAAATATTTTTATATTTTAATTCTCTTATTAGCAATGAATATCAAAAGCTATAACACAAATTATAGATTTATTGCTATAGGTGCACGGGCATGATCAGTCAACAAAATATATAATTCATAACATGAAAAATATAATAAAATAAAAAATTGTAGCAATTCATATAAATTACCCGTATGTTAAAAATAGTTACTTTTCATTAGTACTTTTAACTTAAGAGATTCTTTATTTTGATTCAAAACAATTTATTTATTTGGATTTCTTCACATGCATCATTGGAAGGTAAAATTTGGGAGGGTAATAAAGTAGTGGGATAAAAAAAATGATTTTAAAGTATTAGTGTACTAGATTGCATTAAAATATGTAATAGTCACCTATCACATGCTTAAAAGTAGAGCTGAACATGAGACTCGGAGAATTCTGAACCGCTCCGAAATCACTCCGAACCGAACCGAAAAAAATTAGTACGGTTTTGGAGATTTCACAAATATGTACTGAGAACCGAACCGAAGCATCCCGTACCGTACCAAACCGAAGAACCAAAATATAAAAATAGATGTATGATATTAATATATTTTATGTCATCCTATATAATTTGAAAATTTTTAAAATGGAAATAAAGTATAATTATAACAATTAAGATTCACTTAAATTTTATGCTTAGTAATATTTGAGATCTACAACTGAATTTTCCTGGTTTAAAAAAAATATATTTAAAATGGTATGAAAGATTAAAAAAATATTTTTTTAAAAAAAATATTTAAATATTTTCTTAAATTTGTCGATACTAGTGTTATTCTATCTTATAACAAGCATGGTATGGAAGGTTAAAGAAATATTACTTTAATAAAAACTATATCATATTTTGTTTGAATTTTGAAGTTTCAATGTAAGCTGCACAAATTTAGTCTTAATTAAAATTTAGAGTTATTTATCCAGTTGATTTAAAAATAAAATCTTTGGTATGATAAAGTATTGATGAATGTTGGATTTAAAAAAAAAGTATAAAAAATATAATACAACTATTCAAAAAAATTAAAAAAAATAATTATGAATCTCCGAATATCCGAAACGAACTGTTCTGATAGTCTCGAGAACCGAACCGAGCCGAACCAAAAAAATGAAAACATTCGAACCGAACCGAACTGATTTTTTGGTACGGTTCTGGAGATACTTAAAAGGCATCCATAAATCAGATTTAAAAATCAATATTTGCATAAATTAGATATATCTATACATGAAGAAAATAGAATTTATTAAAATTAAATTAGGATTTTCCCCTCAAAATATTTTACACTGCTAGAACAAAAAGTTCAATCATCCATTCTTTTGTATTTTTCTTCTTCTCTATATTTAAATTTTATTTCCACCAAATATCCATAAGCATGTTTATTTCTCTTATTATTTCCATTTTCTAATTAAAAATGATTATCATTGTTATAGTTACTTACTTTATTTGTTATTATATATATATATATATATAATATAATGTATCAAATAATCCCTACCAATTCTATTAAACATAAGACAATAAACTTTAGTAGAAGATTTTTTTTATTTATCTTTTGATATTGATGCCAATTTAAAAATAATAAATGAAATTTAAAATAATTACTCATAAACAAAAATCATAATTGCATAGTAAAAAATCTATATATAATTGCTCACAAGCTTTTCTAAATAGAGTTATAAACGAGTCGAGTCGAGCCGAGCTCGAACTTGCGTGTTTATCAAGTCAAATTGAGCTCAATTCTTGTCCTAGTCGATAAACAAACTCTAATTCAACCCGTTTATCAAAATTAACCAACGTCAGATCGAACAAATATAAAAATTCAACAAATAGCATAAAACTCATATTTTTCTAGTCTGACGAGTTTTAACGAGTCGATTTTAACTAAATAAGCAGGCATCCTGTATATATATACACATATACTCATGTATCTCCTTCTCTCTCACACACAAATACACACATTTAGAGAGGGAGAGAAGTGGGTCCCACAAGCCAGCTTCACTACGACACAAGTGTTTTTGTGTCACGGGTGGTCAAAGGCCTCATCTCGAATTACGAAAAATAGCTATATAGCTGCAATTTTTATTTATCAATTTAATTTAAAATATTTTTTTACTATATAATATATAAAATAATTTTATGTAGAAAAAAGTAGTCAAACTTTTAATAATGGTGTAATGATTTTTACAGCAGATGCGCACGGGCTAATACTCTCACTTTTTTACATGCAGTACCCTATTTTTCAACTCGCTATGATGAAATCAAAATTCAAAAGTAGGGCATACCAAAAAAAAAAAGTTTA